CTACATCCGGGTGCTCTCGTGTTCGCCTCCTTAACTCAAGGTAGAGCAAAATGAGTACAGGAGGGTATGGTTTGAATATATTTGGGTCATGACACGAATAACGTGAAGGTCCAGTTTCGTATGTCGTCAGACGCTTTCCTCTAGGCACACGTGGTACATGCCCGTTGCATTACCAACACCTGTTGCACACTCAACAAACTTTTTACAGTGCTTAATCTTGCAATTGCTCACGATACTTGACTAGTCTGGACACATAACTCAGACAGTTTTACGGTGCCGAAGAGCACCGTAAAAAGTTTGTTGAGTGTGCAACAACGATTGTGTACAGTTTACCTCTGTCTTGTGGACAAGAGTACGTAGTTCAGTCAGGCAGGTGCCTTAATCTAACACTTCTGGAACATTGCCAGAAGGTAAGAAAAGTAAGAAATGCAGGACGAGACGATTTTTTGGCCACTCACTGTTTCCAATGTCAATGTCAGCCATTGTTCTATAAGGCAATGGTTCTCGCGTCCCACTCTAACGAATGCAACAGACTTATAATTGAAGCTGCAGCAATCCGTCGAGGCAGCAGCATCAGCAAACCGTCAACATCTTTAACTGAAAAAGAATTGGCGTACTTAAATTTGGCACGCGGTGGTCCGAGGTTAGCACGTATTTTTTTGCAGTCTCATCATGTGATCTCATCTTCTTTTTCTGTAACTTCTGTATATGTGCGTTTTAGCTGCAATTGATCAGTTAAAAGTCTTCTCTGATCCTCGTCTCTTGGGGTCGTTGTCTGATTTTGTTTTTTTCGCTGAGGAGTTTCGATTTCTATTTGTTTATTTCAGACATATAATATGGTGACAAATATGTCCATGAGGACACCTAAGAGGAAACTAACTATAATGGAATACCAACAAGCCCAATCACATACTTTACTTCAATACAGAGATACTCAGATATAAGAGCCACAAGTGCCCGCTGTGCGCTAAGAAATATTTCGCAATAAAAAAAATGCTTTGTCCACCAATCGCTTCGTTCGTATACAAGAACAAAGACGAAAGCCCTCCTGAAGTTTCTGCGATCAACCCGCGTCGCCGAACGATTGTGACGTTCTAGTGTGTGTGTGTGTCTGTCTGTTTTCGCTTCCCTGCCACTCTCGCTCTCTCATTCCGTTTTCCTTACTTTTCTGTTTTCCATTCCTCCTTCCCCTTTGTAGGGTAGGAAACCAGACACTTTGTGAAAAACAGACATGAAGAGCAAACACGCATTGGTCGAACAAGCTGGTCTATTCTCCCCTTCGACTTCCTCCGCTTCGCTCCAGCCGCCGAGTCACGTTTCCGTTGCTAACTCTCCATACTATAATATATATTTGGTCGACTCTAGTAACTCTGTTCTAGTGCGAATTCTAAAAGCAAGGTTACTTACAGTTTTGCGTATTCCTTAGAATATTGAGTGCGTGGCGTTAAGCACTGAGCCACCGAGAAGCTCGTCCTCCAGCGTTGAAACGGCAAAGTATATATTTATATTCATCACTTACCCCTGCTGACGGGTATCTCGGGGGAATTTATCGTGAAGCAAAACTGCGCTGTAATAGAATTATCGTGTTTTCAGCATTACCAGCAAGATGACGCAATGAACACGTACCGCCACATCGCGAGGCGGCGTGCGCTCTTATCTCCCCCGCGTACTTTGCCCCGTTCAGAGGAGAGGAGAGAGGCTCCCTCGCGCACCCTTATCTCGCGGTGAGGAGGATGGTACGTTTTGGCTGGCCTCGGGCTTTATCTGGAACGTTTCTGTTGTAATTACCTGGCGCATAAAGGTCACTGCAATTATTGCAGTCTCCATTTGCGAAAAGCACGCGCTTTTCAGACACAGTGAAGTAACTACAGAGACGCTTATTCGCGTGCCTTTGTACCTGTGAGTACGTTTCGTACGTCATTTGTGCGTAAGAAACGCGGGACACGCTTAGATATGCTTTCTATTCTGCGCATGACCTTCCAATTTGTTGATCACTTGATTGATATGTGGAGTTTAACGTCCCAAAACCACCATACTATGATGAGAGACGCCGTAGTGGAGGGCTCCGGAATTTTTCGACCACCCATGGGGTTCTTTAACGTGCACGCAAATCTGAGCACGCGGGCCTACAGCATTTCCGCCTCCATCGGAAATGCAGCCGCCGCAGCCGGGATTTGATCCCCCGACCGGCGGGTCAGCAGCCGAGTACCGTAGCCACTATAACACCGCAGCGGGGCACCTTCCAATTTGTTTCTATCACGTTCATTGCTTCGCCTTTGCGGCAAAGCTGTGACTTGTTTTGTTTGTGCTTTTGCGTAGATTTCGTCCAGATTTGTTCAACAAACGTTCCCTAAGTTATGTTCCGTAGATTTCAACGTCACTTAATTATTGCTTCGTTCTGATCGGTGCATATTCGCATTCGCTCCGGCAATAATAGAACACATCCAGACTTCATGTAATTAAACCAAACTTCGCCGATGTCAGAAAGGAGGGAAATGTTATAGAAGGCAAATACAGATGAACAGCAGACATTGAATATGAAGTAATACAAACCACATTTTATTATCTGAATGCTCGTATACGGCGCTATCGACATGCGTCTTCTTGCACGAAAGCTGTCAGCAACGGAGGCGCACGCTGCCAAACGTCGCTGCCGCAAACCAAAAGGCACACAGCCCCTCAGAGACGCACTTGAGCCTTCCTACCCGAATATATAGCCCCTGTCATCCACGCATTGCCTCGCCGTCAAGGTGGGCCGGTGCCACTGCGAACGTGGCAAGGGAGCGTGAGCTCTCTTCAGTGCAGACGCGGATCGGCCCATTAATCTGAAATCGCGTGGCGTGACGACCGCGGGGCCTTTTCGACGACACCCGCGTTACTCCCTCCCGCAGCGTGTGTCCCGCAGGGATGGCGCGGCAAAAGAGCGGCGATAGTCGTGGCCTCTTCAAGGCTTGGTGCGCGCGTGGCAACCTCAACACTGATATCCGTTTCGCCATACTTCCTCTCAGCACCGCAGCCGCTTTAACTGGCAACGTTTGTCAGGGGTTTTTGTCAGTCGGTGCCTCCCATCGCAGGACGCCGGTGGAAATGAAGTGACGGATAAGCCTGCAACATGGTCAGTGGCGGCATCAGAAAACCTGCTCGTTGTCTCGCTAATATACCATCCGGGCCAATGGCAGTTGCCCGGATGACGCATCCGAATAAAGTGACGCCATATTAGGAACGTTTCAGTGTCAAAAAATTAAGGCAGCTTCGCACCCGTGCTGCCAAGAAAGAAGGAAAACCGCATCTCGGCAGCCTTTGTTGTTTCTCTTCCTTTTTGTCGTTTTCAAAGGTTTTTTTTTTCATATTTTTCCCCATCTCTTTGTATTCCTTTCTTTCTCACTCCACCTCTTTCTAGCTCTTTATATCTCTCTTTTGCCTTCTTCTCTTTCTCTCTCTCTCTCTCTACATCTGTCGCTTTCTATTTCAGGCTTTTCCTCTGTTTCCCATCTTTTTAATGTCTATATTCCATTTGTTTCTCTCTCTCTCTCTCTAAACTCGTTCTCTCGCCCATCAGAGTTACTGCCTCCCACGCAAGACAAATAGGCGCAAGTAACCTCTTTCCATTTCTCTTTTGCCTTCTTCTCTTCTCTCTCTCTCTCTCTCTCTCTCTCTCTCTCTCTCTCTCTCTCCATTTCTTCGTTTCTCTACATTTCTCACGTTCTATTTCAGGCTTTTCTTCTGTTTTCCATCTTTTCAATGTCTATATTCCATTTCTATCTATCTCCCTCTCTCCCTCTCTTTGAACTCGTTCTCTCGCCCATCAGAGTTACTGCCTCCCACGCAACACAAATAGGCGCTCGTGTTCTAGGAGCGAAGCAGAACACGAAGAGAAGGACAAGGTGAGCGCGTGCCGGCCGAGTCATCAGCTTCGTGATCATGACGACTTCTTTACACGACCGACGGAGTCACTCCGAGCTCAAACTGTTTCGCTGTTAAAACTATCTACAATCGGTCAACACACTCAAGGTATCTGTGGTAAATTGTAGGGCAGTCACCCCGGTAGAGAGTTGAGCAGCCATCGGCCAGGATAAACGAATTTCTAAGTAATCTCCCAGTGCACAGGAACATGGTTACGTAGTTATGGTGGCATGAAGATGAATGTTAGGGGAAAAACTGCCGTGGTTCAACGCGGTTTAAAGCTAGTTTTTCGGGCGAGATTTCGACTTCGCTTGCTTGGCTGCGAAGAAAGCCGCTTCTGTACACTAACACCCGTATTGAAAACACTCCTTGACTTGACTTGCCATTGCCTTCAATGCATCCCGTTTGAAAAGTGGTTGTGCGTTAATGCTGTCTTGGCCCTGCCTAAAACAGCGCGTACGAAATGCGTTTGTACTGCATTGAAGGACGAGTAAAGTTCAAGAAGCGTTTCACAATACGTGAGTAAAAATAAAGAAATAAATAAAAGAGTACACATGTGACTGCTTTCGGGTAGTCCTAATTTGCCACGTATATGACTGTTTTTAAAGAGTCACGCTGTCTCTCTGTTGGGGGTCACACCTCTCTCCGAGGAGAGTGCAGCGATCTCCAAAAAGAGTTAATATGTTTCTTTAAAGATACACGTGGCAAGGCACGAGAATTCTAAAAAAAGTCAATATACTTTTTTAGGGTATAGCAACAAGTACTGCATCTACAATTATAAGGCCTGACCACGCGCGCCCGTCGCAGCACGTCAGCGCGTGGATTTCTTGACGCGGCGCCGCACCCTCTCCTTGTGGAGAGAGAGGGCGCGCGGCATTGCGTAGCATCGCGTAGCCACGCGCCCTCTTATCTAAGGGGAAAGGGCGCGGCGTCGCGTCAGAAAGCCACGCGCTGACGCGCTGCGCGGGTGCGTGTGGTCAGACCTTGACACCACTACACAAAAACGCTGTTCGGCGCCGTCGGCGTTTTCAATGGGAACGAGCAGTGAATTTGGATGTCCTCTGGCGGTAGCGGCAGTGTTTTGCGCGCTTACTCACCGGGCGTCGCCTCATCCGTAGCCAGCCCAGGAACACGATTTCAATCCGGCTATCACCTTTAGAGAAATCACCTCTCTTTATCAATGAAGCTCTTACAGGGCGGCGTTACGAGGACACGCGAGGCTCGTGGAACGAAGTATGTAGCGTGACCTTGGCTGAGCTTGAGGGTCAGAATCTCGGTTAGGGGCGCTGTCTGCGTGTGAACTGGAGGAGCAGAATCATCACTTTCCAAAAAAAAGAAGAGTATTGTCTGTTATAAGGCCTGTTCTCCGGTGAAACATTCCGAATATAGATTCGTACCCGATAGACAACGTGACAGAGAAATCAAAAGTAATAGAGTAGCAGTCGGTGGACAGAAACCCACATGCGTATAAAAAGTAACTGAATGAACCGCAGTCATGCGTACCAAACCGGCCGCCAATCCTTCGATAGACGAGTATAGAGGAGTAAAGAACGGACTTACTATAGAATAATCTAATGACACTAATAAGCCATGAAAAGACATTGTAAAATAGGCCCGTATGTCGGAACAGCCACCGGCCTGTCTGGCTCATTTTCAACATGTCTCTCTCTCTCTCTCTCTGGCATATAATATTCTTATTCCTGTTGCTTTCTTTCGCATTCTTAGTTCTTTACCAGTTATTCCTAATGGCACGCTTAATGTAGAACACCAACTCAGTAGCGTAACCATAGCAACACTTACATCATAAAGTCATCTTTTTTTTTTCATGACTTCCTGAAAAGGAGCCTTATTTACATTTCTCTAAATGGACTGCAGTGGTGCGTATCACACGGGCTGCCGATGCTTCAATAGGCGGGTCTATATATGTAAAACACGAACTTGTTACCCAGTAGTTCGATGAAAATGAGCAATGATTGATTGATATGTGGGGTTTTAACGTCCCAAAACCACCATATGGTTATGAGAGACACCGTAGTGGAGGGCTCCGGAAATTTTGACCACCTGGGGTTTTTTAACGTGCACCCAAATCTGAGCACACGGGCCTACAACATTTCCGCCTCCATCGGAAATGCAGCCGCCGCAGCCGGGATTTGAACCCGCGACCTGCGGGTCAGCAGCCGAGTACCTTAGCCACTAGACCACCGCGGCGGGGCGATGAGCAATGAAATGGCTCTGACAAAATATGCCCACATCTCGAAATAACAGCCGGCCTCTTTCGCTCATTTTAAACATGAGCCATCTTTTTTTTTTCTCGGCATAGAAAATTTGGACGCCTGTTGCCATATTCTTGGGGCGCTCCTCCGAAACGCTTCCCGAGGAATCATCCCCGGGCAGCTTGGGAGCTCTCCGACTAACGGCCTGACCACACGCGCCCGTTGCAGCGCGTCAGCGCGTGGAATTTTGACGTGGTGCCATGCCAAGGTCTTACTTACGGCATTCGCAAGGTCTTACGTACGTGCCTTAAGCGCTTACAGCGCTGAAGTTATGGGGTTATTTAACGTGGCACTCTCCCTATGGAACGAGAGGGCGTGCGGCTACACGAAGCTGCGCGCTTTTTATCTCTTTATATGAAGAAGGAGCGGTGCCGCATCAAAAAGTCGCGCGCGCCACTGCACCGTCACCTGATTACTGGGAGAGTGTAAGGAGGTAAGGCCACAGCTGTGGCCACACTGATGTTGTGATGCGTGATTGCTGAGAGAGTATGGTGGTGGTAGTGGTTAAAAGAAGAAGGCGACTAATTTCTGCAGCCCAGTAGGGAGCACGGCGCAGCGCCTGGAGAGTGTAAGAGGGAGAGGCCCCAGCTGTGGCGGCGCTACTGTTGCTATGCGTCGCTGCGCCATCACGTGATTGTTTAGAAAGTGTGAGGGAAGTGGGCACAGGCAGCACCGTTTCAGGGCACGGACGGACGTACGATAGGCCCCACAAAAAAGAGCCGTTAAAGGCTTTCGCTTTAATAAATCTAATCGGTATCGATCTTTCCGGGCGACTTCGCTTGCTTGAAAACCAGTTTCCTACTACTGCACAGTACATGTGTCAATCGAAATGGCTAAAGAAGCTTGTAAGAACGATCAGGTACCTATAGTTCTAGCTTTCAGGCAGCTTTTCTGCTCTTTCAGCTAAGCGCACTCTTTCTATGTTGTTTTTCACTACGCTGTGAAAAAAAAAAGACTGTAAAGAAGACTCAGCTACAGTAAACCGTGAGTTAGCAAATGTAATTGAACGCTCTTATGTGTGGAGTTCACTAGCAGCAATTCGCTTGCCAGACGCATGCGATCTCGTTATGGCGTCCACTGTTAGCCTTGCTTGGTTCGCGTGTCCAGCGCTATTAAAGCAGCGACGCGCGCTCACCAGCGTAACCCCTTCACAAGGTGTAAGCAATAAAGAATCATCCCGAAATCACTCTACCGTCGATTGATCGAACGTGAAAATATTTGGTCTTCTCAGGACGCCGCCATCTACAGTATTATACTCGCGCGATGTATACTTCCGCCACCACATGGAGAACGAATATATAGCGTTGAATTATAACGGTAATAAAAGCGGCACTCGGGCAGGAATCGAAAACTTCGATAGGGGCGCTGGCACGCACGCTATCTGAAGTGCGATCAGTAAACGGCCCATACCCTTGTACGTGCTGAGCTCTCATCATTTACTTAATTTTGCTGAAGTGACATACAGCACGAGAATCATTTCGCTCCCTGAAGCGGTCATTTCGCTTAAACCAGCGTTTTCTTAGGTTACGCAGGATCGAATCCTAATGCGATTAGCTGCTAGCCTTACCTCGTATAACTCTTTCACTTTATCGTTATCGTATTCATTGTTTCGCCTTTGCGGCAAAACTGCGGCCATTTTCACACGTTTTACACGGTTTTACGGATGACGCTAATCAAGCGTACTTTGGGCTTAGCTTTCCGACCGTTTCTTTCTTTCTTTTGTTTTTTTCTTGCTACTTCTCTTTGCAGCTCCGGAAAGTGGGTTTGCGTGCTACGTTATATTTCGCTTATGCAAGCAGTAACTTTAAAAACGTTCGTAACTTTATTAATATGTTTCTCGGTATTCATTTGTCATCCCGAATCTATTGCACGACAAAGCGTATTTTCGGAATCAAAACGTGCTATTGTTGCCTATCAATTTTCCTTGCGACTCCAGACAATAAATCTATTTTGATATAACTAATCACGCAACCGTATATACACAACCGAGAGAAATAAAGAAGGGACCTAAGAGACAGAACTAAAAAACAAAAGCAAAAGAACACATCCCTTTACGTGACCAGAACAGGCATTAAAACGCGATTCCAGTCCAGTATTCTACAAGGAATCCTACGACAGCTTTGCAACTCTAACGTCAAGCTGACGGCCTCCTTAAAGAAAATTCATTATCAAAAACTGGCAGGTTCTGATTGATTGATTGATATGTGTGGTTTAACGTCCCAAAAATAACCATATAAGACAGGCTTTAAGGAATATTACTTCCAGGACACAAGTAAGTTTTATTTGACACTACATGCCTTGATTTCTCAATATTACCAATTGGTATATCTCCCCATTTTTTAATTATCTGAGAACCATTGGAGTAACGTAGCGTGTAAGACAGGTTGCAGATTACCATGTGAATAGGGCTCCTAATAGAGACTCTCGCCGCCATACACCTGCCATTTAACTTATACGCAAGTCATTAAGGCAAGGCATGCCTACCAACTTCAGCTAACGATGGAAGGCGCAACGATATTAAATGTACACATAAGTGCGAGATAACTAGACGTGCTTAGATGTGAACAAGAAGGTGAACAATTTGTTGCCATCACAAATGGAAGGATCAATGAAATCAGTTTTTGTGTAGGGCTGAAACGATCCTTTGAGCGGGAACCTTGCCACCGCTCGTTTACCCTTGCTCGAAAATGTAGCGCTTCTCCTCATGTAAAGATGACAAACTATTTCATTCTATTTATCATATTCAGTACAGGAATAGCCACAGCAATGAAAATTACCGACAAGAACGCCCCTGGGATTGAAATATCGTGAAGAAGAGTTCTGTTTGTAATGCGAAGGAGCAACGCGATGTCACAAGGGAAATTTTCGGAATTTCAAAAGTTTGCTGCAACGAACATTCGGGCGTTTGGTCAATTTAGGCCCGTTTTCAATGCGTATCGCACTGTGGAGCAAGATCAGCGCAGTGGTGTCAACGCAGGGTTGAACTTACAGTTCCTGTAGTAAAAGTTCACAGTGTGGACCCATCCAACGTCGTTGTGGGTGTGGCTTACAATGTGCACGTTCAGGAAGCCCGGCTTGGTCTCGTGGCAGGCCTGCAGAAGCGGTGAAAAAAGAAATACACTAAGAGAAAAGGCGGTTTGCGAAACGCACTCACTGTAACAGGAAATAAGACAAAAATGCTGAACAGGCATCATTTATAGACATGAATGATCAGGCAGTTCATTGCATAAGTCCGAAAATTTCAACAGGCTATGAAATGAGCCTAAGTTAACATTGTGCCAGAATAGTGCATGTTGCGCATACAGTCGACTGAAGCTTGCTGTTTTCGTCTCCGAAAGCATCGCGGCGACAGAAAGATGCAACTGGCGGTCCTTCGACAATGTGAGTTGGCGTGTAGGTGTATATAGCAACGCAACATTGGATTTGCCGGGCAAGGCAATTATCCGCAGTGCATTTGATGTATATACCGATAAAGAAAGTATTGACGTCCACTCGCGAAGGTTTATGGTGCTGGGCTGCTGACCCGAAGGTCACGGGGTTGGTACCCGGCTGCGGAGTGCGTATTTAGATCGTGTCGAAATGCCAGAGGCCCATTTAATGCCAGTGTATGTTAATGAGCACCAGATGGTCAAAAAATTTCCGAAGCCCTCCACTATGGCGTGCCCCAAAATCATACCATGTTGGTGGCATGCGAAACCCCAGATATTATTATTAGCACTATTTGCTTAGAAAGCAACAAAGCAAAAAAAAGTGAAGGCATCCGCAAGACTTCGTGCCCAGCATGTCCGATGTCGTTTTGGGAAGACTGAAAACGTGCAGCACAGAGTTATAAATAAATTTAAAAATAAATATACTACACGATTAGAGTTGTCAATAAAAACGCGATAGTTCCAGGAATCAAAGGCTTTTTGCGCCGTCTTCTTGGTTGTCATGTGTTGAGTCCTAACTCACTCGAGTGGTGTTAAGTGGGCAGTGATTTGGGTTTGGATCTGCGCTTCCACGAAACGGGTTCGTCTCGCAATGCGGTATATGTGAAGAGACACACGCTGTCTTGCAAAGGACATGAAATACACGCGGTGACAGGCATCCATGTTGACAACCTTTCTTCGTTGAGTGCCTTCAGCCGTGACGAATAGCGAAAAACTTTTAGCCCCAGTCCTGCTGTACTTGTGTCATTCGTCTTCGTCCTTTGTGCTAGGCAACTTCGCAAGCGATAAAGATGCTTCACTGAGGTTGGGTCTCTCACCTCCTTGTCTCGCATCCATTTATTCATGCGACTAGGCGATTTCTTTGGCGACAGCATTCTTGATTTCAGTGTTGTATGTATGTATGTATGTATGTATGTATGTATGTATGTAGTATGTATGTATGTATGTATGTATGTATGTATGTATGTATGTATGTATGTATGTATGTATGTATGTATGTATGTTATGTATGTATGTATGTATGTATGTATGTATGTTATGTATGTATGTATGTATGTATGTATGTGAAATTACCGTGCAATTAGGGTAGGAGACTAAACTGTTGCACTAGTTAACCTCTTTAGCCTTTTCGTACTTCCATTTAGGTGTCTCTCGTAATGCCAGTCTGATACATACATGCACGCTTAAGCGTTGTACAACTGCTGTGTGTAATTTCTGCAGCTGTCACGCCCTGTCTCGAGACCCAGTGAGGAAAATGACTTTTCTTTTAGTTTTTGGCCGCGTGCAGTGCGACTGTGCCGCTTCAAACAACAAACTGCCACTTCAACTACATGTTAAGGCAACAAAATTTTACCGCTTCTTGGCATGTGTGTGCCAAAATAGACCAGCCGATGAAGATGTGCAGGGTGAAATTGGCAACAGGATATTAAAGTGAGCATTTTTGTGCCATTGTGGTTACGTCTACGTAGTAGCTATACTATTTTTTGTAATGATTCAAGCGATTTTGTTTAATTTGTATCTACACTTCCTGCATGTTCGAAAGAACCGTCAATTTTATTTTCGCGAATGAACGTCTTGACGCTTTCGTCTTATACCAACATCTGGGCTCCCCAGGAAATTGATTATAGAGGTATTCGTATATGCTTAGCTGGAAATATTTTCAGTTATGAGTTTCAGTTAGGAGTGTGAAAGAGAATTTCACACCTGCGAGTGATGCTGGCATTTGAAGACACAAAAATAGATAGAGAGCAAATAAAAAGGATATCACACAGACGCGTTCAGTTGAACATATTACAGCGCAAGACAGCTGTTTGCACTATTATATACCTCGACACACCTCAATATCCTATATTTCATACAAAAACCTACAAACGGTGGTTGTCAAACGAGAAAAAAAGACCACTAAAGAAAATAAAGCGCATACACGAAAAAAAGGATGCCTCACAAGAATTGCATATAAGATCATAATTTAACCAAGACAGCCAGCAGTGCCATCTCAAACGTAAGACATTTCTTACGGCATAATAGCTTCGTAAAAATGTCGTCCCATCGATAAACCACCACCACATTCTGTTAAGCGTTCTTCCAATGAGAGGACTATGGGGGGAAATAGCTACAATGTACCGGCACTAGGATGAAAGGCAGATTACGAACCGTCTTCCTGCATGTAAGAAAGAAAAAAACAGATGCGTTTCATACTGCGCAGTCGCAGTAGGTAAGTGACGCCTAGAGTTTCCGAAAGTGAGTGAGCCGTGCGGCAACCACAGTTTATGTAGGAATGCCCGCACTTGTGTATAACCCATAAAATGCATTGCTTATTTTCTCTCTCTTGTCCCATCCTTCATTTTCTTTCCTTAACTTACCGTTCCCTTTTTGCTCTTTTTCACGCGCAGACCGGAGACGGAAACCAAGCTGATCTATATCGCCCACCCTACGCAGCATTCGAGGTGATTCGTTTTTCTCCGCTTCAGTCTTTCTGCGTGAAACAAACAGGACCAAGCGGAACTATCCGGTGGGGTGGTGCGATTCGACCACGGGGGCGACAACGATGTATCGGTGCTTCCGTCGGCCACGTTGCCTCGAGCTTCGAATGAGGGACCCCCCATCGCCTGGGGACCCTGAGCTCCTTCAGTTCTACCGCTACGAAGATGACGGAGACACTTTCGCTTCCTGCGTATCTTTACTCACGCGTCAGCTGGTGGCCCGGTGCTTAAACGAATGAAAACGATAGTAAAACCATACCTTACGCTGCTATTTCCCCCGATGGCTTTTATTTATATGGACTTCTCTTCTCGGCTGGCTTTGGATGAAGCCGTTGCGATTATGTGCCGTAAATATATATATATATATATATATATATATATATATATATATATATATATATATATATATATATAGTCCAGTAGATCCTCCGTGAGCGGCCACAACGTGGTTTATTTCGACGTTTCGGCCTAGAGTCTGGCCTTCATCAGGATTAAAGATGCAGTAGTTTGTTGGTGCTCAGGTTTATATATATATATATATATATATATATATATATATATATATATATATATATATATATATATATATATATATATAGCACCTTACCGAAGAAATTTGCTCCTGTCTAGTCTGCATATGCGGCGGGTCAACCTTGTCTGCTCTTCTTCCAGCACATCTATTGTGCGAGTATTCCGCACGTCATGAAATGTTGACGGACAGCATATGCATTGCGCCAAGTCCGTGCGGGACACACGCGTTTCCGATGAGTAGCCTGCAGTCGGGTGACCAACCGTTCGTCAATGTGCGTTGACAGGTCCAGTTCCTGCCAGGCTACGAGGTGCATCACCCTTTCATCCGGCAAAACGGGTCCGTCAAGATGAGTGGGGGTGAAGTGGACGCCAACTTCGACTCTTTGACTTGGGCATGGCAAGTCTTTCCCTTGAGATGGACACTCGAAGTGTGATTGGGATGTTGTATTTTAAGGGCGTTCCCACGGTAAGGGAACGAGGGTTATACAGCGAGCGACCAAGTGGTTGCTCGGCGGGAATCGTTCGGAGGAATTCATTTTCCTCACGCCGGTCTCTGCCTCGGCTTTCTCATCATGACGTCCCTGGGCCTGCGGTAGACGACTCCCCCTCTCAGCACGACGCCACGCTACCCGTGGATTGGCTACGGAATCCTGCCCAGCCGTAACAACTCATAGCGCCTGGCATGCACACGGCTAAGAAAGAATCAAAGAAAGAAGCACGAACACATCGGGCACCGTGTTAACGGATCAATCACCAGCAGCTGACTCTGCTCAGACTGCGAGGCACTGCTCTAGGCGATCTTTGAGAGCTTCCTGTTCCGGGTGTCAAGTGCATAGCAGGCATGCATGACAAAGCTTTCCCGGAAATTTCGTTGTTGATAAGAAAAATGACAGAAGGCAAACAATACCTCGCTCATAAAAACAGTACGAACGTAGCATTAAGAGATCGTACGACACCTCTTTCTGTGTATACCTTTGCGAGAAAGTGACGGCCGCCGCAGAAAATAACACTATATAAACAGCATAAAGATGCGACACAACTTCAAGTGCAGCAGAAGCTAGTCCATTTCTGTAACGTTACTTTCTGTGCATACTTGCCTTACCAAACGAGCGGGTAAAAGAAAGGTTTTACCAATACACTGTGAATATATATTATATATATATATATATATATATATATATATATATATATATATATATATATATATATATATATATATATATATATATATATATATATATATATATATTTATTTATTATTTATTTATATTAACGACACGATGCAGACGTATACTGAGTCAGCCAAACAGACATCGTCAAAAATAGGTGAAGGCTATGCGGCAACACTATTGGTAAATTACAACCCGCTAATGTGTGTCTAAGGCGAATAAAAAAAAAACGTTTGCGACGCTGTTTGCAGCCACGACGAAATTTCAGCCTCGGCCCAAAGAGTCGGCACTGCAAAGACCATTGTATTTTCTTCTTATCAAAGTGTCATTTTTATTGCAGCTGCATCGCGAAAGATAGCCACACTTACAAGATGTAAACACAACTGATATCGATTTAATTTGAATCGACTACAAATGATGGTCACAGCTTCTCTCGTTCTTTATTTGTGTATACACTGTGTTGTACACTGCGTATAACGCT